AGTCCGCAGACATACCGCTGTGCCACTGGGGGGCATTGTTGATAGAGCATTTAATAAAATTAGTAGTTATTCAATGTCTAAAAGTATCTTAAATGAGTGAATCTTCAAGAATTGGGCATTCTGTTACAAGATTCATGGTTATTTTTTTTTATTCGATTTGTTAAATGCTTAAATATTCAATAGATCCACAAAACTTATTTTGCTTTTCAAGTAATTTGTATACTGTACGAGCGATTTTAGAAAACGATGATATTAAAAGCATAATTCAAGGAATCCTTTTGCCGCATGCAACTTACTTGGTGTTGGCCAATTCTGAGCAGATTCCATCGTAGATGGGTTTGTAGACACTCCATGTCTGATGACTACGTATCACAGGAAATTCGCCTGTTCTCTTTTCTCAACCAATCCAGAACTTTTCTTAGCCCATCATAAGCATTGTCAAAGGTTTTTCTATGCGTGATTATGTCATCCAAGTAGCTAAAGACGACGTTCCAGGGTAGTACAGACAGAGCACACTCCATTAGTCATACAAATGTAACAGGTACATTACATAATTCAGATGGAAAAACAACAAACTGTCACAGTTCGCATCTAGTAGTAAAGGCTGCCTTATCTTTACTTGCATTATTGATTTATTTTATACTGGGCCTGATATGCCTCTCATTGTACCTTTCCATCATATTCTGTTGGTTTCTTGTCTTGGCAATGATGTTGAATTAGCCAACTAAATCCTTGAATTTGGTTTGCTGGAGACGTCCTGGAAGGTTCTGAACTCACAGCAGTAGTGGTAACAGTTGTAGACCAAATAGTTTCTTTTACATCTGTATTTTATAGTAAATGGTGTTTAAGTTGGAATTCCTAGGCGGATGCAGAATAAGGTGTGGCTGTTTAATCTTAGCATTTACTACTTCATTTTTCAAATGTTTTGTTCTGTCTCAATGTTCTTTTGTACCTCATTGTTTTTTTTCCATTACAGTCTTTCAGGACATTATCGATGCTCTTTTCTAATTTGATTTTGATTTCGTTGGTGCTATTTTATACTTCTTCAATTTTATCACTATAAACTTTCTGTACTTTTTCAAACTTGCTGTTGTAATCCCTCTATACATCTCCAATAGTTTCATCAATCTTGTCTTCAATCAGATTTATATTTATTATTAATTCTTCTTTAAATATTATGTCTTTTTCTTTCAACTATTCTCTTAATTTCCAATCTCCCACCTATTGATCTTCTTCTAATTTTCTATAAATTTCTTCTTGGTCTTTCATTTTTCTACTTCTATCTTCTTGAACTTCTAATTTTCTCTCTTTTTCTTGATCTTCATTTAATGCTCTGTCTATTTTTTCTTAACCCTCTTTTAATGCTCTCTCTCTCTCTTTCTGCTTGTTCTTCTTTCCACTGTTGCATCAGCTTTAAAAAAATTTCGATCTCGCTTCGTATTTGTTTTGTCATTTTAAAGCTCTATTCTATTTTCATCAAGCTAATACCACTTCTGATACTATTGTTGAATGAGTGCTTTGGCTTATTTAGTAAAACAAAATGTGAACTCCAGTCTACGAAACAATAAAGAATTTATTTATTTCTTCAATAACATTCGTTACAGGCTACAGTCATTGTTAGGCCTAACTTCACCAACAATGTTTTAACAGAAACTTCAAAACTAATGCATGACTCACTTACTTGCATAATTTTCTTGCTAATGAACCAATAAAAAACATGGTGAGTAACTCAATGACTAACAAAACTGAATAATTAATTAACTGAATCACAGAACTGAATAAATCACTGATATTTATGTTGTACTTTTATTTCTATCTATTACAGAAAGCTTCTAGATTCTAATGAGGTCTTAACTTTCAAGAAATTTTTAGATCTTACATCATCATGAAATGCTCTCTCTAGCAAAAAAATATCTTGTTGTTTGTTGTAGAGAACAAAGCTACACAATGGGCTATCTGTACTGTGCCCATCACGAGCCACTAGGAGGCAACACATATCGAAATTAAAACATTAAAAATATAACTTACAACAGAATATTATTATCCTACTGCTTTCATGTAATTCTACTTAATATTTATTCTGTTGTCTAAAGATGTAGTTGTCATTTGGGGCTCGAAACGCTATCACCAACAAACACAAGACAGGAGCTATCCACTAAAAACTTCTTCATGTATCGATCATATTGCCTGAAGTTACCTTCAATAAATATTTTGTTTCCACCTGCACTATCTTTTTCCAACAAATATTATACAGTTATATTATTTTACTCAAAGTTTAGTAAGGGTCACTGATTCTCAGTGATAAGAAAATACCCAATTTTGAGTTTTTATCATTAAGAGCGAGTACTTTTCACACCTGGTCATTTTGACTTGGCCCGGCATGGCCAGGTGGTTAAGGCACTCGACTCGCAATCTGTGGGTCGCGGGTTCGAATCCCTGTCCCACCAAACATGCTCGCCCTTTCAGCCGTGGGGGCGTTATAATGTGACGATCAATCCCACTATTTGTTGGTAAAAGAGTAGCCCAAGAGTTGGCGGTGGGTGGTGATGACTAGCTGCCTTCCCTCTAGTCTTACACTGCAAAATTAGGGACGCTAGCGCAGATAGTCCTCGTGTAGCTTTGCGCGAAATTCAAAATCAAACAAACAAACAAACATTTTGACTTAACATTGCTAGTTAGTAACAGACCTTTTCAATAAATGAATTAGGGTAAATTGGGAAGATCTATGCCTCATGGCTTAACTTGGTCCAAGCTTTAGTGTTAAAGCGTTCGTATTTTGCCCCATTATTGGCCAAACATTCAACAGAACGCATTTAAGTTTCGAAGAATTGTAGTGAAGTAATAAGTAACAAGAGGTTGATAAAGGCACTTAAAGAAAAAGGGCATAACTTAACTGTGTCAGGGATACTGACGAAAGGTAACTGTGGGGATGAAATTATATATAGATCACTAAGGCTAAATCCTAGGCTTAGGTTTATATGTAAGGATGAGCAAATAGGCTAGTTGGACTTGTGGGATCAATTCAGTGGGAGAAGGGAGGTTTTTGCAATGTATGGTTTATATTTAAATAGGGTAGGATCTGGCTTGTTTGCAAAGGTTATTAACTCAGTTGTAAGGGAAGATTTAAACTAGGACTAGATAGTGGTGAGGGCCAGGATAAACAAAATGCAAAAAATAAAACGTAGAGGAAAGTTTAGCATGGAAAATAAGTATAGAAGTAGTTTTAAAGATAGGCTTAATTGTTACTATTGTAATGCTAGAAGTATAAGAAATAAAATAGATTACTTTACGGCAAAGGTAGGAATAGAGGATTTTGATATAATGGGAACAACTGAAACATGGCTAAACGTAGATGATTTTGATGACAGAAATTTCTTTTAAATACTGGGTCATAGATTATTTAATAGGAA